TTCATGCTACAGAAACCGGGATAAGCTCCGGCCTGATGGGCTACTTGGCTCGCATGCAGACTTTACCTTTACCTATATTTTAACGATAAAATATAAATTGGCAGCTGAAAACTGGAGAAAGGCTTTTTTGTACCTCTCAAGCTACATTGGCCCAGACTTATCGTCGCCAGAGAAACATGAAAACAGCACATGCCTCTATTGAATTTTACCATCTCCAGGGAAATTGTTTTGATAAAAATAAATTTTGTGGAAGCGAATTTGATACTTGATATTTTTATTTTCTGCTTCTCCCGAATGAGGGGGCTAACTAACCACCCAATCCACCACTCATAAATCTGCCCCTGTAGTGGTACGAAGAAAGGAAACGCAAACAGGCCCAGCAGACAAGTGGGAATTCTATAAAACAAAAAAACAACAACAACAACAAAAACAACAACAAAAAACAAAAAAACCAAAAAAGATGGAGAGAGAGATTTATCAGGGCCTAAGTTTATGGCTTTCATTGTTTAAAACATTTGTCTAGTTTGTCTCGTATTTGTACTTTGGGTAAATATGGCCTCAATTTCAAAGAGCATTTGTCCTGCATTTATCAGGGACAAATATGAAAACATATTTGTCCGACATTTGTTGTCTTCACAACCAGGACAAATATAACATCAGATTTGTCTCATATTTGTTTTTAAGCCAAATATGATCAAATCCATTATTTCATCCAGTGCCTCCAACAAAAAAGCTGATCTCAACATTTTAGTGAAAAAGAAGGTAAATATATTTCTTTACAGATTTCTAAAAGCGGAACTTCTCAGTTATTTAATTGGATGTTGTCAATAATTGAAATCACTATAGATCGTTTTCACTGTCACGCAATAAAAAAATAAATCGAAAATCATTGTTTGGAAAAAGCTATGAAATTATGATGTTATAGAAGATAACTGAATAAGACACTTCTCCAAGTTTTAGGCCTGTGCGTTTCCCCAAACTTCAGATATTCGTCGAAATGTTTCGCAGATATTTACAGAGCCCAGTATGAAAACGCCATGTTGGTGTACCTCCGTGGTAAATAGTGTAAACATCTGGAACTTACTTTGGCTATCTAGGCGACTGATTATTAGTACTGATCAAACAAGCATTTACATAAGCACTTTTCCTAATGCTCTAACTTCTATTAAGGCTCAAAATCATGGGATAAGTATATATTTTTCGACGAACTCGATCATAGCCTTGTGCCACGCACCTCCATAACCCTGAAATTCAGAATGCTCTGGATTCCAAACGAAGCACGCTTTTGAGCTGTAAAATTGTAAACAGATACAAATATACCGCCTCTCAT